GGCCTGAACGGCCAGTCATTCCCCGCAAAACGTGGGGGGCGATTTGGCGCTGATCACGCCTGGCGACATTTATATCATGCGCCGAAGCCGGAGTCGCCAACATTCCGCTGTATTCGAAGGCTTCAAATAGCGTGTTTCTGTCCAAGTGAGATGTAAAACGCTTGCATTGGAAATCTCGCACAATTAGTCTAGTCAATGACACCCCTGAAAAAGGTTTTGGTGCAGTTAGATAAAACCAAAAAAGCTCCCGTTACACAAATATGCCTAAAGATTCGGATGACCAAGGGCTGCGAAGGACTTCCTCAGGCTCATGTTATTTAAATGTAAAGAGCTAAGTTTTTGAATAAGTAATGTGAGAAACTACATAACAATCGAACTGCTCACGTGCATTCGGAAACGTACGTGAACAGTCAGCTATCGGCAGAAAATCAGCACTTGGCGAAGAGTCAAAACGTAATAACAAAATGTGCGCAGCTTGTTGGTTCGAAACGCTTTGTGCACCAACGGGTGCTGACGTTACGATCAGTTAAACCGTGATTCATCGGCGGGGAACTGGGACAGTTCCCTATCGTTGACTCACAGCCATCAGCACGTAAGGTCGCACCACACTGACCACGTCTTCGATGCGAAGCGGCGTGATGCAGTGCATGACGGAAGAGAACTGAAGAGTAGTTGGGCGGTCAAATTTACGCGCTCCGTAAGAAAAGAAACTACCAACGACGCATCTTATCAAGTCGGTATGGCAGAGAATGGTGTGTTCCACAGCAGTTCCATGCGAGGAGCGGAACACTTGATTGAAACTTAAGTTTTCCCAGTTTGTCAGAGCACACGCTTCGCAGGTCCCTGCCATCTGGAAGCCCCAGCACGCTAGAGGCACGCGACAAGCGGCATAAGATAGCTCGTGTCCAGTCGCCCCCGCTCAGCGTCGCTGATTACGAGTGACCTCTGGTGAAGTCATGCCGGTGACACCTCGTGTGCCTGGATTTCCACCCTGTGGTGTGAAGAACTAAGTGTGCTGTGTCAGCAGAGCAGCGGCAACGCTAGATATCACCTGTTAAACTACATCAAATCCCGGTTAATATGATGTCACGTATGCTATTCCATGAAGGCAAATGGTTGTACCCGTGCAGATTTAAGTATTTATTTGACGCAGTTGACACAGGCTGATCTTGAACAGCCTGGCCTATTTCTATTCTATACAATTGCATCTGTAACAGGATACCACAAATCAATATGGGAGAGTAGTTTTAAGGCAACTCCACGAGAAGGTTGATAATTTTGGTTTACCGGGCACACCGACCACCCACGACCGCAGCGTCACGTTCAACGACAAATGTACGCCATCGGAGTCTGCACCAGGAATGCTGTCAAAATGTCCACAACAGAAGGGTCGTCACCCTTAACTATGGGGTCCTACAATTTTTTTTACATTTAAAAACAACTTAAGGGCTTATGGGCCGTAAATCTCGGCGCCATGCACAAAATAGCTCTGAAGTTATTCAAAGAAATCTTAGCGAGGAGGCTTCTGTTGCCCCTTTCGCCGACCGAGTGTAAAAAGACGGAACGCCTTGATGAGTGCGCTGATAATTATGCAAAGTATTCGGGAATATCTCGCAAATATCATTGCATCACCAGGAAAATTGCACCACGATGGAAGTTTTAAAGTAAAGAGCTTAGTAAAACAGAAAGTATATAATCAAAGTGTAGTAGAAGCTTAAAACAACACGGCCTGTGACAACTTCAGACTTACGCATTGTACTCACAAGGAATGTCTTGGAAATGTTTTGGGACAACCTCTTCAGCGAATGCTGAGAGAGCACGGGTGTTCTCGATTGCGTCGGTGGTGCGGCTGATCCACGCAGTGCCAGCGGCTGGCAGAAAAATAAATAGATAATGGGGTGATGCGTAATAGAAGTTATCTCGATTCGATTATCGAATTTTCCTCAGTAACGCTCTTGGCCAGTCTTAAAACTGTTCAGCATGACGTCATCTGCTTGTCAATGCTGGCCGACAGCACCTACTTACTATTGTCCCATGCTTGAACACTCGCGGATGCCGTGCTTTCAAAACCACAAGTCTGAAATTCATGCCGATGTTCTACTCCACATTCCATCAAGTTACAACACATGTGGTATGTTGCGTATTCTTCTTGAGAACTGATAGCGCAAGTTTGGAAGCGGTCTTGTTTACTATGCCCTTGAAGCAAAGCATCATTACTTATTCAACGGCAGATGATGCGATGTTGCATCCAAATAAGCGTAAAGTCAGTGCCAGATTTGGCAGGGGTCGCGTAACAAACTCCGCATATGATTATAGCCGCCCAAGACATATAGCAATCAAGCCAACAGCAAAATTTGAGCTTTTCAATACTTTCGGGGGAAATTGGCATGTTAGCCGTTTGAATCCGCCACGGCGTGCCAACAAACATAGCAGGAGTAAGACTGTGGGTCGGTTTTTTCTTGGACTGTGGTAATGGTAGCAACGATTGATGACTGCGTGGCCATATCCCATTTCCGTGGCCGTAACGGACCAAAACAGCAATCAAAGGCACACTCAAACACGTGGACAGTCTGGCAAAATGCATTGGTTTGACTGATGTACCTGTGCCGCATTTCATTGAGGTCATTTGGGAATTTAACATTTGCTTGGTATACGTAGGTACCCGGCAAAAATGACCATCGGGCCGAGGCTACATGTCGGATAAGGAATAGCACTCTGACAGTCGAATGCACCCTTTTCCTGTACATGATGCATAATAGCACCGTCATAAAAGAAACGCACGTAAAAATTTGCGCGTGACCTTTGGACAGCCCGTTTTGGTTGTTTTCCTCCCCGGTGTGAATCTTTTCTGTTATGCTGCCGATCTTTTCCTGAACACTCGCAATCAGCATGGTCGATAGTGCTCATTGCGGTGTTGTACAACCACCGTTAGAATCCAAAACTAAGGCCCAGGCGGGGGTGAATACTTTGGTTCGCTGCGTCGCTGGTATCTTTGGAGATCTTTCATGGAAATGTGCTCGGTGACGACGCATTGCGGGAGCATATTTCCTTGTTGTGCTTCACGCTGAGCTCTTAAAATGCACCAACACCGCCTGTACGTGGCAACGGAGGCTCCGCGTTTTAAATTCGTTCGGCCGCATGCCAGCAAGCTTGTTCCTGAGCTTCTACCAAGAGCAGACGAAAGAAACACGTGCAGGTGAAGGTAGACCCTTTGTGTGTGCAGTTTGTTAGAGGGCCTTGCATGCCTGCGACAAATACTTTCTAGAAGGATTGTCAGCCTGTCGGGCATTCCTCTTTCCCAAATGAATATCTTCAATTCGTTTACTTTTGGTGTGGCCATCTGTACTGCAACTAAGCCCCCGCAGAGCACCTGCGTTGAAAAGGCCCTACAAGCATGCGGCAGTTATGTAAACCATTCTCAGATGACTGCTGTCCAAGCTTCAAAATATCAGCTGCGTTTTGTCTATTTCTAGCATTCCTCACATCCGGCATTTCATTTTCCTGTTATCAGATGTGTACTTCTGCTCTGTTTATTCTCTCTTGCCCGATGCACCCTCAGAGTTTCTGCACGCCGAGGGCAGAGAACTGACCCTCCCGGGTGTAGAACTGAACTGAGAACTGACCCTCCCGGGTGTAGGAAGTAACAGCACACGATATTCAACGCTCATGATATCTAGCATGTAACAATGCGGCAATAGTGGCGTGATGCCTTCTTAAACGCCGAAAAGAAACGAAGGCAGCACGTGCTCTCGGGCTCTGATCATATCGACAAGAAGCGTGCAGATTTGAGCAAAAACGGGACAGCATGCACTTGACGCGGTTGAAGAATTAAGCTGTACAACGCGATTTGTGGACCGGAGCGGAAAAGCTGTTTAGTGCTGTTTTAAGAGGAATTTCGTGCTCAAAATCGTAGAGATTTCATGAGTTTCTTGTTGACAAACACATATGTGCATATGTGGTATGTCAGGGTCATCAGGGCCCAAGTCATCTCAGTGATACGTTTCTTTAGAGCCAGTGTCATTTCAGGTCTTGGGAAGAACTAAGAGACTGAGTGGGTTACCTAAAAGGCAAATAGCTAAATGGTACATTTTGATGCAAATACTGGAAAGGAAAGCGGCTTTGCGCATGTTTTCCGTGTGCTATGATAGGCAAGCCATTGATTCTGAGAAGCCGGCCATATTGAGTACCAAAGTTTAAAATGTGATTATTTTCCCTCGTTCATTTAGACTGAAGATGAAGAGGCGCCAGACGGCTGGCAGGCATCCCACATGCGCCTGTACAGCGCGCAAACGCCAATACCCTGAATGTTCGGCAAACTTCGTCGTCGGTTTCTGGCCGTTCTTCTCCGCATATTCCATGGAGGCATCGGACTGTTTCTGCCGTCACCACTGCTCCTGCCCTCGACAGCCGATCACCACCGCCAACTGGCCAAGCTGCCTCGAACGGCACCGCCTCCACCTTCTCCTGAGAGTCGACCACTGCCCCCCGCACCGTTTAGCCAGCGTCACTCCTTCGTCTGTCGTCTAGTTGACCTGAGCTGCTCTGAGCGTGTTTGACGTCTGACGTCTGAGCTTTGCTCTGACCTTCGCCTCCCTCGTCTGTCGTCTAGTTGACCCTCCCCCGCAGTCGCCCATTGTGGTCAGGTGCTCTGAGCGTGTCTGACGTCTGACGTCTGAGCTTTGCTCTGACCTTCGCCTCCCTCGTCTGTCGTCTAGTTGACCCTCCCCCGCAGTCGCCCATTGTGGTCAGGTGCTCTGAGCGTGTCTGACGTCTGACGTCTGAGCGTCGCTCTGACCTTCGCCTCCCTCGTCTGTCGTCTAGTTGACCCTCCCCGCAGTCGCTCATCGTGGTCAGGTGCTCTGAACGTGTCTGACGTCTGACGTCTGAGCTTTGTTCTGACCTTCGCCTCCCTCGTCTTCCCCACCGGCAGGCGTACGTTCCGGAGAGTAACCAGTGCCCGCCAGCTCATGTCGGCCCTCACCGAGGAGGACCTCCAGTTCTTCCACGACGCGGCCAAGGGGGAGGTGCTCCGCTACGACAAGAACCGACCCCAGGTCAGAGTTCATGGACACTCGCTGAGAGGCACGGATGGAAGAGGACTTTACGGCTTGGATAGGGCAATGGACACTACATGCGATAGGTAACAGGCTCGGCTGGGTACAGATTTTCGGAAAAATGGTTGGGTTTGGGTACGGTGTGAAAAATGTTAGAGATCTATGATCTTTACTTCAATGGTACGCAGTGTTACTCGGAAAAGTGTGGGTTTGGGTACGGTGAATGAAAATGTTCCAGATCTATGATCTTTACTTCAAGAAATGGCACGTAGTGTTACTGCTTACCCCCTCTGTTGGCCATGAATAGTTCTCTCCCTCTCAAAAGGTAAGCTTTGTTGCGAACCAGAAATTCTTCTATGATTCAGAGCCGCAGTGCTAGACAAGGCAAGCGGGTGTGGTACCGGGTTGGAGCGACTGATTCAGGATAGATGGGGTCGGGTATGAGCATATTCCCATGGGTATCTGGGCATGGGTGTAAAGGACATCTTACCCGTAAAGTCCTTTTACTGGAAAATCGTGGTGAGACATCAAGGAACATCCCGTGAAGGCGTAAGCCATTTTAGCCGAGAGCATGCCAGGACACTGGAAGTCCAAAGTGAGGTGTGCGGGGTCAGTAACCCCCCCTTCCACCCTCTACAGACTCGGCACAAGAAGGTCTTTGGATCGCGTGGGAGACTGAATCACCGCCGCTGGCATTCGTGGAGAGACAACTGAACTTTATTAAGCGGGTTTACTTGCGGTGACGTTGGCGAGGTACGACCGAGCACGACAGTGCCCCTACGTGTTGCGGGTGGGGGTGGGGCGGTGGTGCGTGCTAAAGAAGTGGACGCGATCTTATTGGAAAGTGCATTTCTAGTAACGGGGGAGATCATCCTGGCAACCCGACAGGCAGGCTGAGCCGCGCTAGACCAGGCTGCGTCAGATCGAGAGGGGGGGAGGGGGTGGGGCGGTCGGTCTAGGGTTTGATGGCTGTCAAAGGCCTCATGTCTCGGGTTGATGGCCTCTCAAGGGCTAATGTCTCGGGTGTGATGGCCTGTCAAAGGCCTCATGTCTCGGGTATGATGGCTGTCAAAGGCCTCATGTCTCGGGTTTGATGGCCTGCCAAGGCCGCATGTCTCGGGTTGTGATGGCTGTCAAAGGCCTCATGTCTCGGGTTTGATGGCCTGTCAAAGGCCTCATGTATCGGGTTTTGATGGTCTGTCAAAGGCTCATGTCTCGGGTTTGATGGTCTGTCAAAGGCCTCGTGTCTCGGTTTTGATGGCCTGTCAAGGGCCTCATTGTCTCGGGTTGAGGCCTGTCAAAAGCCATATGTCTCGAGTTTAATGGCCTGCAAGGGTTTCAAGTGAGCTGCTTTGTCCCTAGCCGTGCAATGCACGTGTAGCCGAGTAACAGCCAGCGCTCTCCTCTCCTTTTAGGGGGAGATCGGCACGTGGCCTGAGCTAATATCTTCCTTCGGCCTTCTCAGAGGCTTTGATGAACAGACCTTTTATTTTATTCGTATCGTGATTCCTGCACGGGTGGAGCTGGCTGGCTGGAGTGGTAAAGATCAGCAGCAAAGACGGAAGTGGTATTTTCGTCGTGTCTGCCTGACGTAAGCGCGATGTCGGCGGGGAGGCCCTCCTCAGTTTGCATCAGTGCCAGTGTGCTCAGAAGCTGCCGGAATTCATCCAACCTTGAAGGCTCCGACCGCCCTTCCGAGCTGGGTGTGGCTTGTTTGTGATTTTAGTGAATGCGTTGCCTTTGCGGGTTGTATGTGACTGAAGTTTGGCCAGTTTCAATTATCCTAGTTTTTATGTGTTCACTATTGTTTTATGTTTGCAGCCGGGGGGTGTTTTGCAGCTGATCGTGGAGTCCGAGCATTTTGTGAGGTGTTGTGTGACTGGTAGGCAATATGCACGCTAAGGAAACTAGCCACAGTGGACCCCGTGCCCAGCGAACTACCTGGCTTAACAGCTTAATTTGGACAAGCTCATGACTTGATGCTTTCAGCGACCAGGTCCTATTCAGCGTTGGCCTTGGCTTCTAGATTTGGCGTGCAACTGGTATATCGAGACATTTGTTCCACCTTACATTTCAAAGGTATGGGTTAAGATACACCGTATTTGCACGTTTAAAACAGTCGTATATCAAGCCACATCATAGGATCGCATTATGGGGTCTGCCGATAGACAGAAGACTTGCTAGAGATCTTGATGCAGATGCGGGTGGGTTCTGGATAGCTCACCCTCCGAATTAAGTGGACCGAGATGAATTTAATACAAGATGTACCGATACCAAGTCAGGCTATCTGTGCGGCACATCCGAAGCAAACGATGCGGGGACAGAGCCAAGGGGCCGGAGAGGCCGTTAGCCATACTCCCTCCATTGGTCGCGACAGGGTTACTTTAGTCACGTGACGGCGCTTAGGAGTGTTCGTCTTAAAAAAGGATTTTGGCCCTCTTCTTCTAGAGACTTTTCTCCGCCCTTGGGGAATGATGCCACCGCTTTCTGCCGTTAAGGCCGTGGTGACGGCTATCGCGAACAAGCTGCCGTTTCGTGCCCGCGTTTGTGTGGAAAGTTGCGGTCTCCATCAGCTTTGGCGACGCGTGGGACCCCCTTATCTCCATCTTACGCTCGGCGGTGAGTGGCGTGTTGGCGCGAGGTGGCTGAATGACTGGGATGACTGTGGTTAGATGGGTCTCGTCTTGCATCATTATCGGAAATTGTGACGGCCCACCGAGCGAAAACCGTTTTCGTCATGCATTCACAAATTTTGAAGCGGCGTTGTTCTTGTGCTGGAGAGTCCAGGCCATACGGCACGTTAGTGAAAAACTTTGCGAAAGGCAGTCTAGATTCAACATGCGTGCAGTACATTTCACGGCTGCAAAAACCGTGAGATGGCTATTTTCATCTATCATATGTTTACAGTCGGCTGTATAACCATTTACGATATTGGATTTCCCGTTTTTATGTCACTGCGCGACGCTAGTGGTGAGCGCATGGTCCCAAACATCGGTACGTAATCGGGGGTTGGGTTGTAAATTATCAGTCGTCTTCCCAGTCTAAACATGCTGCCAAAATTTCAGCGACCATCAAGCCGTAACCCCGGATTATTTATTTTTCTTCGACAGCTCTGTATGTTAAGCCTTGCCGCGCAACGCTCGACAGTCCATGCACAGGTGTCTAGACATCGAAACATCTAGCAGCCGCATGCGCAGCAGCCGTGGGTCGTCACGCCGCTTTCCTGCTACCGCACGTTGCCACCGCCTCCACCTCTGCCCTCGCCGCGCCCTGCTGCTAGTTATGTCTCTGCTCGGAGCGGTAATGACATGTGCGCGGCGTGTGGTATGCGGGGGTGACTCCCCCTCCCTCCCCGGTGACCCCCATTGACGCAGGCCGCTGAAGCCAGCGCCGTAGCGCGGTGGGTCTGCGCCGTAGGTATGGTAAGCGGAGAGCCAGGCCAGATGACCTGCCGTTAGCTGCTGGCCACCGCATGGCCAGCTGGTTTGTCCCGCTTCACGACGGCGCGCCAGGTGTCGTTCTACCAACTGCGCTTCATTCCTTTTATCCGGAAAAGGAATGAAGCCTGCACAGCCGTTTGTAGGTCTGCCTTGACAAGCTTGAGTGACGCCACTACATTAAACGGAGCGTATGTGCTTTTGAAATGCCGGGAGAATGTAGTGTTTATCTGAAAATCACTAAATAATTCATCGACATGGAGCTTCGTCGGTTTACCGTGAATGGGGCTAAACCGACTTTTCAGCCAAGGCTGTTGGCCAAGGGTATAATACCAGATCATATTCCCTATCACTTGTATCGCCATCCCGTACGATTAAGATGTCCGGCCACTTCTTACTTATAGAATGTAGCTAAAAGTTTCCAATATCTGATTCAGCTGACAGCGCTTATCGTGAACAAATATAACCCTGCGACATTGTTTTCAGCGTATGATTCATTTTCAGCTGGGCTTGTTCAGCCTTGATGCCAAAATCCTCACGTTTCAGATAAATCCACTGAGCCCAACAACGACATTGGCTATACTTATGCATTTAGTTAATCGTGTTCCCGTGCAGAAATGCTGCTGTCTTTGGTGTTTCGGGGTCAGCTACGGTATGGAGCCGTGCAATGCGATGACAGCCTGGCTGGCCACAGTGTTGAGCAGCCGTAGTTAAGGTCGTTGTTGCCGGATACAATGCAGTCAGCGCATCACGGTAAAAGATGGTTTACATCAACTTGCATAGCGGGTCGGACTAAATAAATGTTCTGTGCTTTTAGAGAAACGTGATTTCAAACATCAGTCGAACTGTTAAATAATTGCGGAATGCGATTCATGTACCACAAGAAGGATTACCGTATATCAGAAAAACCCGCGGGTAGCAGGTCGATTATGATCGTTGTGAATGAACAATTCCAATAATGAGTTGTTGCTTAGTATCAGTCTATTCTTCCTTCTAAAACATCCCAAAGGACCACTGTGGAAAGATGTCGAGATGGCTCATTACTTTACTGTTCGTAACGAACCCACTAGTGAATGGTTATTGGTGGGGCACGGGTGACTATGCGCACATAAAACCGGTCAACCAAATTTATTGGTTACACCCGTAGCCGGTCACCCGAGATGTATCGTTGAAATTCATGGGATAATACCGTCTCCCGACTATTCAAACTATAAAAAACCTGCGCGCCTCTGTAGGCTATAATCTATTGGTAAATTTTGATCGCGCAATTGTGCTTCGTACAATCTCAATAAGATGAAGCCAAAGTCTTAACGATCGTGTCAGTTTTTGCCATTTACTCGTAAGTCGCGCAACCAGAAGCGACTTTCCTGTAAATAAAAGAGATTTGTTTACTCATTGTTAAGTTTCAAATTGGGCACAGTATGACCCCAAGTCCAACACGTGGAAACATTTTCAGATAATTGAGAAAAACAGGAGAACTCGGTTTGAAATGGGGATGATGACATCCACCTGTATGGTTTCTAAAGCACGGCCGGCTGCCCTTATGGACTTTTTGGTTTCATCTCTACGGCGATAACACTCCCTCATTTTGCCGTTTCGCCGCTCCCACGCCACAACAGACACGGAAAGAGCTGCATCTGAAGGATCTTTTTCCCAGATCTAGATCCAGAAGAATGTTCTCTGCGCTGTGTAACGCCTCAGCCCGGCTGACCCGTGTTAGGCTAAGACCTCGCTCCGCCTTTTCTGTTGCGCAAGCCATACCAGAGGCGAGAACACCGCGTGGAAAGAGTTGCTGCAATAGGTTTTGTACAGACAGCCGGCTCCTTGTTTTCCGGCAAGTGGTTAGTTAAAACTGACCAATGAGCGGCCGCGTTACGTGATACGCCCCTGTTGAAAGGCCACCAAAGACTAGCAAGCTAAATTTTCTCTTAAATGCCAGAAGACAGAGCGCCAGATGGTCCTGATATCGTGGACTGCGGTTCCCGCTGTCATGCAACGTGATCTCTGCAGCTCTGGCTATGGCTCTGAAGCTCCCTAGATAGTATCGTGCTTTCTTTTTAAAGGCGTTAACCAAGCCATGGCGAACGGCCGTCAGTCTTGGCGGATCACCGAAAAGGGACAGATGACTGCGACCGCCGCATTACTGGGCGGCTTCCCCGTGCCGTCGCAAGTGATACATCCCCTCCCCTCCCCCCAGAAGCTCGGATCAAGCCGCGCCGCGCCTCCCCCGCGCCTTAAACACTGCCGGGTGGGGTTTAAAGTCGGCGTTAAGATGTGAGCGATGCGCGCTGGAATTCGCAGAAAGATGTCATCAGTGGTTCTGAGAAGACGCCGATAGCACTGACTGCACGCCATTTCCCCACAGCCTGTATTTCCTGGTTACCGTTGTGGCTGGAGCTCAATTTGGTGATTCGCGGTACTTAAAGCCCATGGGAAAGGAAGTGAAATACTAATTGAAAATGAACAGTGCTGACACAAGCTGGCCTGCAGCGACGAGGAAATTTTGTCAGCGCGCTGGCTAGGTTCGACAATTCTGCCCGCGTTTTAGGCGCTCCCTTTCGCCAGGGGCACACCCGAAAGCACAGAGGGCGGCAAATGCAGCCGCGGAAGTATGCATGTTTCCTGCTTGCTGCAATGGCTTTACCCTGCCACGAGGTTATTACGCCCAGGAACAATCCATGTGTGAACGAAAACTAACCGTTTTTCAACGAGCGAGGTGCAGGTGTGGGCTGAACCAAACGTGGAAAACTGTAGCACCAGGTGATTTGTTCAGTGTTGTTGCATCTTGCACAACACAAAGCACAAATTGTCTCGGCAAAACGCGTATGTTCGCATCTCCATTTTAAATTCAATCCCATTAAGCGTGCGTAACCCGATGGGCTCCTTGACACATTCAACCCCAAATTAGAGCAATCACTAATAGGTATAGGCTGCGCTACGTCGGAGGAATTAAATTATAACTGTGCCCGTGCTGATTTGCATCGCTTAGACTTTGGAATGCTTCAGAATTTGCCCATTGCCTTCGATCAGTATGACAACCCTTGCTTGTTATAAGATAGAAGAATGGGCTGTATAACTGCAGCGCAGTGATTGTAGTGTTCTGTATACTCCTTGATGGCTGAAAAATGGGTGTCTATGCGTTCTGGTGCTTCATGCACAGCGTGAATTCATTCCTGGCATTATGTTGGCGTCCTGGAAATTGAAATGTGTCGATTGCATGCAGACTTCATGCAGCATCACCTTCGTATTTAAAGATGCGCATGGTGAACCAGAACAACGAAACGTGTCAGCAGTAGAAGGGGTAAAAGCCAGGCTCCACTGGGAGTGGAGTATGAAAAAGCTGGTGATGCCACGGTCCCGTAAGAGCGTTGCAAAGTGTAGCGCTTACAGTTTTGTGCTGCCTTTCGCGGAATGCGAATCAAGCACGATACCACTTTTGCAGTGGAAAATGGAATGTTATTCGCCCCGTTTCCCGTGGATCGCCAAACATCGCTTACACCAAGAACGGTAGATCGTCCAAGACCCCTGCCTTGACTGCGATATAGTGCAGCAGACCTCTTCCTTTCTCGGTAGAATGTGGAATGCCACCACGGCCGGCTGGACGACGAGCTATGGTGCGTCTGCGACAAGGGGTGGATGTCCTCGCCCCTGGACCGGGCTTCCTTCCAGCCGTCCTCCTCCGTCTACCACATGTGCAACATCAAGGTGGTGAAGCCGTCAGACGAAGCGGCGCAGAACAGGGCCGCCTCCAACTGGCTCTTCGTATCCTTTGACGGGCGCGCCCTAACGGCCCCGGTGGTGGAGAAAGCTTCGTGAAACGCACTGCTTCGTGCCTAATGCTCAATGCTTAAGTAGGTGCGTCATACTGAGGTCATCTGCACAAGGCTGGTTTTTGGCTTTACAATTATTAGCACCCGCATTTGACTCTCGCACATGGCAATTAATATCATCCAATACCAAGATTCACACACACACACAATGCTGAAAACATTAACTGCAAAGGTATGAGAAAATGATAAGAACGTATATGCTTTCGGTTGTTAAGTGACTGGGGCGGGGCAAATATGAGGCAATAATCAGGCAATATTACCAAACGAAAACTTAAGGCAGCTGTGTGCATGACGTGCCATACTTTGAATCGGGGGCTCCGGGTTCGACGCCTTCACAGGAAACTTTCACTGGCCTTGATTCTCATCAGGTATGGCAGGGCTAATGAACTTAACAAGGCTACATGTTTCCATACAACACTTATTATTGTTATTAACAGCTTGCCTTAACTAGTCGCTGTGAGAACACCAAGTGCATTGGTGAAAATGACTAAAGCTGAACGGGTGAAGGTTTTTCAAGGCTGCGGGCCGGGCGTAATTTTCGCCGTTTGCGCTGTTGAAAAGGTCAGCTCGGTCGGCGATTAAGATTACAACTGTTTGTAATTTAGGCCAGCTTTGCACGAAATTTGCAATGGGGCAATGCACAAACGTCGTCATCAAACGTGGCATAACATTGCACCACTGCTGAATTTGGTCATGCCTGAGACCTGAGCTGGCTTTGCTTTGTTATATTTGGTTGTAAGTAATCTTCGCTTGGGATGGTAAGATCACTTCCCTTCCTTCCCGTCACGCACGGCGACTTCCGGTTCACTCTAACTCTTGGCAATGCATTCCACGTTGTTGGAACTGATGATGGCATTGCACTTGGTACGCTATCACGAATGTTGTCTGGATTCAAAGCGTCCTTTGTTTTCCTCTTTAAATCTGCACATGGTGCTTTCTCATGATCTTGTTGTTGATCCCTACGTTTGTCAGCTGAACCATCTCAAGAGATGCACTACTGAGCATCGATGTGAAAGCGGGCCTCATCCTCTCGAAACCTAACCTTACATAAGTCAGTGTCATCAGTGCCGGCCACGTTGTCAGTCCCGGGCAGTAACAAAGAGCGGGCCCCAAGAGCCGGTGAGCTCCGCGTCAGTCTGCCGATGGGTGGTTGTGCAGCGAACCATGCAAGGATAAGTGATCTTAAGTTAAAAGGATACGCGAACGCACTTGTGTGTGCGCCGTCTGAGCCTGTCGTATTAGCGTCACTTAAGGTCTCGAGGATCTCCATGAGACAGGTCAGGGTTAGGCTTCAACGATATTGCTTGTTAACGAGCGTTTATCCCACGGAACACCTCCTGGCACCGGTAAATGGCACGCAACATGGTCTTGGAAGCTGCTACGTTTGTGAGAGGCAAGTCATATTGTGCCCACTGGGTATGCGACACTCAAATGTGGTTTTTAGCATCTTAAAATTTGCAACAAATTCCACCGAATGGGCACGGGGGGGACCGAGTGACGTACAACACATCCCGGGGTTTTCGGCGCTCTGATCGCACTTGTCAGCCAACCAAGTCTCGCTTAAAACGTCGCCCAATTCTGCAAACACTTTTCCGCACAAGCAAGTCACCGACTTGCACAAAGTCCATTGAGCGGGTACCGCAGGGAGTTCCAACATGGCGGCCGGCGCGGAACCGCGCCGGGCGCCTCTGCACCTCACTAGCGGCCCGACGGCGGCGCCGGCGGCGCCGGCGGACGGGTACGGCCCCGACACGGCGCGCGGCGCCGGCGGCGTGCTCGGGGCGTGCTCGGCTCCGCGGCCCGGCAAAATGGCCGTCCTTCGCTCAGCAGCTGGCAAGCAGCAATAACGTGTGCAGAGGGCGGCGGCGCGGCGGTGGTGCCAGTGGTCGTCTGCCGCCCAGAGAAGAAGGCGCGCCGGGCTTCGCCGAAGTCTGCACAGTCCACCGTCAGATGTGAAGATATTCGGCCCGCTTCCACGAACGATATTCGCTAATGAAGGCGGAAAACGACCGCTAAGAGGAGAACTCTCAAGGCTCTCAAATGAGAACGACCCGCGCTCAAATGTACCCTGACGGAATAAGAAACGAATGCGCACCAATTTACATATTGATTGCCACTAACACAATAACAGCGGCAATGCTGGCGGCGTTGCAGTTGTATGCACAGGTGGGATCGGTTAATTTTATTCATAGCTCGAACGTTTTGGGTACGTTGCTGTCTCGATGTGAATGAGCAACTCGGTAATGACGAGTGTTGCTGGCTATCGTTAGCTCCCAAGGCAACTGTGAGAGGGAAGGGGAGGGAGGCGCGAGGACACAAGAACTGGCCGCAGATTGGCGTGATGGTCATTGTAAGACGATTTCATAGGACTTCTGGAAATCACTGAAAATAATGTACTCGCCACTGCTTTGAACTAGCGATAATTGCCAATGTTGCTTATACTATCAATTACGATGCTTACAAATTTACGGTGCTCCCTACACCAGACACTGGCGCCGGGTGCTTCGCAAGCTGTCAAGTGTTTTCAAAGGAAGATTTCCGTTCCACTAACGTTAAAGCTAACACTAGCAGACCCCGCCTTTACCCCGCTGGCAAGCTCCCACACCACCCCACTCCCTACACCGAGGGCACCCCAAAACCTCGGCTCGGTTTGCGGCCGGCCGGCGGCCACGTCCCATCGCGGCGCGGCGCCCACCAGAACTTGTTAGCCGCTGTGTCTGTTGGTGCGGCCAAGCCCGGTGGCGGCGGCGCCGGCGGCCGCCATCAACCCACCCAGCCGCGCCAAATGCGTCTGGCGCGCTCTTTTTACGAGCGCGCCGCTCACGAGGGCCGCGCGAGCCTCCTTGACCTTGCCCCGCCAGACGCTCGCCATCGGCTCCGTGATCGTGGGCCTGCTGTGCATAGCGCTGACGCTCTACTGCGTCCAGTGGTGGATGGACCACCGGCACCGACGTGCCGAGTCCCGGCCGGCCTCCGAGGAGCTCGTGCCCCTGGCGGCGGCCGGCCGAAGCTCGCTGTCCGGGTCGGACGACTCGCTGACCTCCGACCTTTCGCAGCGGCGGCCGACGGGGTTCGCGCCCCGCGGCAGTGTCGCCAAGAGCGTGCGCATCGCGTCTCAGCCAACCGTGTACGGCCGAGCGGGGAGTGTGCACAGCTCGGAGCTCACGGCCACCGACACAGAGTAGCGCGCCAGTGTCTCACTGAGCCTCTCGGGCTTGTGTGGTGCACCGACATCGGCGGATTAATGTGGCTGAACAGTCGGGTCACGGCTTCTCGTACTTACGGCTGAAATGTGTTTCTTGTTGTTTGTGGTTGTGTTCCGAGCGCTGAGAATATACTGAAACGGACGTCACGTGTCCACGCGTCGTTTACAAGTCTCGAACTCGCCACATGCAGTTGCCTGCAGTGTCCAGATGGCGTGGGGTGGCCAAGGCAATCATGACAGCCGCCGCACAGGAAACCCAATGCATTGTAAAACAATCTACTTTCGCCAAAATGTTCGACAGCCATTCCCCATCCCTGCCCCACCTGCTCGCCACACTGTACCCATCCCACAGACGACATTGAAAAACCAATATCCGCACCTGAGCTTCATATGTACCAGTGTCGGACACACGCGCTCCACCAGCCCCTGTCCAGGGACCGGTGGCGCCACACCTGTCCCACAGAGAGCACATCGGCGCGCGGTACTTATTTTGGGAGGCGCCGCCGCCATCTAATTCCATGAGGATAATTAGGCATCGATCTTGCACGCGGAGTATCGCGTGCACCGATGGCGCGGTCCGTTCGCCGCGTCTGAGGAGGAGCAGGTCCGGACGCCGGACGGCGGGAGGCACCGGAAGGGACACGGACCTGGCGTCTTAGGAGGACCCGGACCGGACGGCGGGAGGCACCGGAAAGGACATGGACCTGGCGTCTGAGGAGGACCCGGACCGAACGATGGGAGTCACCGGAAGGGATCCGGACCTGACGTCTGAGGAGGACCTCGGACCTGATGGCGGGAGGCGTGAGAGAGTGAATACGGACCCGACGCAGACCCGGGAGTGGGAGGAGTACGAGACGACTTAAGTCCAACTCACCCGCACGTGTTCGTGTGCTTCAACGTCTGGAACTGGAGATCTAACGGAACTTTTCTCCGTTGCAGTATTGGTTTCTGGTCCTGTCTTTGCATTAGAATCCGAATTGCTTCCCGCAGTCCACATTTGTATTTGCATTTGTTTTCTCAGTCTTTCTCCCACCCTTACTTTTTCCCTTTCTGCCTGTCCGCCTGTTTGTTCGTCTGTCTGTCTGTCTGTCTGTCTGTCTGTCTGTCTGTCTGTCTGTCTGTCTGTCTGTCTGTCTGTCTGTCTGTCTGTCTGTCTGTCTGTCTGTCTGTCTGTCTGTCTGTCTGTCTCTCTCTCTCTCTCTCTCTCTCTCTCTCTCTCTCTCTCTCTCTCTCTCTCTCTCTCTCTCTCTTCTCTCTCTCTCTCTCTCTCTCTCTCTCTCTCTCTCTCTCTCTCTCTCTCTCTCTCTCTCTCTTTTTTTTATCTATCCCTCTGCTTTATCCATTTCTCTCCCTTTACCTCTTTCTCTCACCATCTCTCCCCCTCCCTTTTTCCTCCGTACCAGCTTTCCTCACTCCCTCCACATCTTACTCACTCTTTGTATCTCTATGTCCCGAATCCCGCTCCGCGATCCGGGACTTTTCTGACCTCCTCCTCAGGTCTCCCTGATCTCCTCAGGTCTCCCTGACCTCCTCAGGTCTTCCTGACCTCCTCCTCAGGTTTCCTTGACCTGCCTCTTCAGGTCTCCCTGACCTCCCCCTCAATTTTTCATGACCTCCTCCTCAGGACTTCATTGCCTCGTCATCAGGTCTCTTTTGCGTTCCTCCTCAGGTCTCCCTGACTTTCTCTCCAGGTCTCCCTGACTTTCTCTCCAGGTCTCCTGACCTCCTCAGGTCTCGCTGACCTCCTCGAGTCTCTCTGCGTTCCTTGTCAGGTCTTCCTAACCATCTCCTCAGGTTTCCCTGACCTCCTCCTCAGGCTTATATGACCTTCTCCTCACGTCTCTCTGTGTTCCTCCTCAGGCATCCCTGACTACTCCTTCGGGTCTCGCTGACCTCCTCGGGTTTCTCTGCGCTCCTCCTCAGGTATCCCTGACCTCGTCCTCGGGTCTCTCTGCGCTCCTCCTCAGGTATCCCTGACCTCCTCCTCGGATCTCCCTGCGCTCCTCCTCAGGTCCGCCTGACTTCTTCCTCGGGTCTCTCTGCGCCCCTCCTCAGATATCCCTGACCTCCTCCTCGTGGCTCTCTGCGCTCCTCCTCAGATATCCCTGACCTCCTCCTCGGATCTCCCTGCGCTCCTCCTCAGGTCTGCCTGACTTTTTCCTCGGGTCTCTCTGCGCCCCTCCTCAGATATCCCTGACCTCCTCCTCGTGGCTCTCTGCGCTCCTCCTCAGATATCCCTGACCTCCTCCTCGGATCTCCTTGCGCTCCTCCTCAGGTCTGCCTGACTTCTTCCTCAGGTCTCTCTGCGCTCCTCCTCAGGTCCGCCTGACTTCTTCCCCGGGTCTCTCTGCGCTCCTCGTTAGCCGTGCTTCGACCGTGCACCGCCCTCCATCCCTCCCGCGTCGCAATAAAGAACGGGGGACTGGTCGTTTGCTGCGCCGGCGCCGCCGTGCTCCATTAGTAACCGACATAAATCGCCCTGTTGCGGCCTTATTTAGATGCGCTCAGGTCGTGCACTATGGGCCGGCCGCGTAGCGCACGGCTGTATAAGAGGAGGCGAGGAAAGCCATGGAGGCGGGGTAGGAGGCGCAGGGGCGGACGGGGGCTGGCTGCTGAGATTAAGTGCGTGTGGTGGGTATTGAAAATAGGGGACGGGATTGTGGGTATTGAAATTGGCGAATTCATCGGTAATGAATGATGTGCAAGTTCTTAATATTGGATGCAGCTGCGCGGACATGCTGGATAAGTGCGATGGGGTATGCGGCATTGGGTGGGCATATGCAAACTGTTTTGGCACCGGACCGGTTCGCTGTCGTACTTACGGCATGTGATACGGCGTTGGTTCGTTCCGTAGCCAGAAGGCCACACTGTCATGTAGTAAGGGAGGGAGCTGTTGCCCGTCCTGCCAGGTTTTTCGCCCAGACCTCCTCGGTTAACCTCGATCCCTAACCACAACCCACCATCAGAACACTAGACATAAGAACCGACAAGTTATCTTACGGTATGCTCTGAAGTGTACAGTTGTGTTTCGGTGACCTCCGTCCATAGATCTGTGTGCCGTTCCCGCACTGCTCGATGCGCTTCCTTGTGGTGCCTCTGCGCCCGGTCTGGCACAGTCGCTGTGCCGTCAGTACGCACAACGCTCGCGTGACGCCGGGCCGGCCGGCCTCGTCCTCCCTTCCGGCGGCGGCCGGCCTGGCACCGCGAACTGACGTCATCATCCGTCATTAGTCCGATAGAAAATACGACGCAAGATGTGGAACGGCCGGCATAATCGCTCCCTCGATACCCCTCCCCTTCCCCCTGCCGCCCCACTGGACCGCGGAGCCGACACGGCAACCGACCGGCGCCGACCTCCGCGGGGGTGCGGGTGGGGGAGGATGGGGGACTGCGGTGAACTCATGACTCCGACGCCGCGCTGCCCCAACTGAAGCCGTGTCAAATCTGCAGAAAAATGGTAATCCCGCCGCCATCCGTCAGCCCCACACGCGAGCAGACGGAAAGGCGGCAGGCCGCGGTCGCGTCGGGCGCCGGCGATTCCGCCAGTCCCCGTTTAATTAAACCGGAGGGCAATCAGAGCCGGCGCGGGCAGCGCGGAACTCGGCGCGGGAGGGCGGCGCGCCGCATGCAAGCGCGCCAAAATGGCCGCCGCGCCGCGGAGGCTGCGCCGAATTGCCGCCCGGCGCTGCGTGTCTGTAATCAGCATTGGCGCGGCATCGGCGGTGGCGGCGGCGGCGGCAGCGGCGGCGGCGGCGGCGGCGGCGGCGCGGTCAGATTGAAGCCAATCTCGGGTATCGAAGGCGGTGTTGCCGGTCGGGAGGCGAGGTTTTTCCTGTCGACGCCCCGCGCCCGCCCCTCACGGACTCGGGGCCGTGTTAGGATAGTCCGTCCTTTCCCTGCGCCGCTCCAACAACGAGGTGTGAGGTATCCCACTCGCGTCACGCCACGATCTCTTCCTGGAGCGGCTTGAGCAGCCGAACAAAGATCGCCTTCAAAGGCAGTTGGTCAGAGGCTAACCATGAATGGGAACCCCATATGCATAACGGTACTTCACCATAGCATACCAGGATGCGATTAGTAGTCTCCGTGGCTGCAAGTGTGAGTCTACAACATTAAATACAATATAATACAACATTCAATTCAATAAAATAATACAACATTCAATTCAATACAATAATACAACATTCAATTCAGTACAAGTTTTTGGTGCACTTCGCTGTTGTGCGCAGGGCTTTTTTCAAGTTGATGCGATAAACGCCTTTTACTCTTGCCATTTTGTTTCTGCGCTTCTCCAGGACCCGAAATTTCTGCTGTTAGCGAACGTGCTGTTTTTTCTATCCCCAGCCCCAGAAATTCGCGATCAACATAGACGTTTATAAATTGCTAAGCTCACTCACAGCCGCTGGGAGCAAAGAAGGCTGGGCACCGAACGCTACCTCTTGTGGCGCGGAGCGTGAACTACCAGTCGACGCTGTGGAAAAGACCGCATAGAGCACGCGGCAATAACCATGCCAGCTGTCCTCGAACCAAGAGTAAAGGGCAGACGCGGAGATAGCACTATCTATACCAAATATCATAACAATAATCCCAAAATGCAGATGCGTCAACAACCACAATAGCTATCATCAAAATAAGTCAAGGAGGCAGATGAGGCAGCAACCACACCACACCAGCTGCCGTCAAAATACCAACAATGAATGTGGAAGAAACAATAACAGCTGTCATCAAAATGCAAACAAAAGGGAGATCTGACAGCAGGCACGCCAGCTATCCAGAAAAGATAGATTTGGCGGCAACGACAGTACCTAACACAATAACTAGATGAGGTAGCAACAGCACCAGCTGCCATTGGAATAAGTGCAAATTTTACAGTTTCGAACCCAAAGATGGTGGCTACGGCACTTTTCGTGTTCCCCTTTGCCAGCGCTTTCTTCTCGTGCTGTTGGGCAGTGAGGTGAAAGGGACAAGCGCTCTCATTCA